TAAAACGACGTTGGTAACCATCGAGGCCAACATATACTTGCTTCTACAGCCGTTCAAGGCCAATACCATGCAAATAGATCCACGACTCTGGTTGGAACCAGAGCATGTGGCGTATCCCGGAATTCCTAAAACGAAACTAGTCAAAGCCGATTGCTTCCGTTTTGGATCTTTTAACTCTTATTTGCTGTTGTTTGGCCGCAGTACGACATGCAAAAGTTATCACATACGGTAGGGCATGGGAAAACTTTTGGCGCTAAGCGGGAATCGAACCCGCACTACTATTCGCCTCGGTCTATCGTCATCCAAAAACCTCCGCAATGTGAGAAGGCCCTGCGCTCCAGCAGCGAAAAATTTTTATAATTCTTTAAAAAACCACATTGCGCGAAGTTGAAAATATTGCATAGCACAATGAAAACAGTAAAAGCTCGCGCTGGTCAAGTGATTTTAGTGCATAATATAGACATGGGTTTCTGCAGTGTGCGTAATGAATTCACTGTTTTTCCAAGAAGGCACAAGACCAAAGACGGAAATTCACTCTCTTTTCTGGTCGAGTTCTTGCTTGAAATTATACCCGCCGTTTTTTCGGGGTTTATTTCTCCCTGGAAGTTGTGCACCGGTTTTCAGCAAAAAAAAAAGCAAGCAGGTGCCCTGAAGAGGGACAAGGGTAGTATTTTGCAAACGTCCGCGCCAATGAATGGCCCTTCCAGTCAACGCTCTTCTGGAATAAGGCACATGACAAGCGAGCCTAACGTAGGCTTCGAGTGCTCAATCAAGATAGCGCTTACCCGACCAAATTGTTCCAAAACCTTAACAGGGTAGTCGTGGCGGGGAATTTGAGCATTAACTCAGTGTGATAGTCGCATAAGTGACTGGTACAACGAGCGGCGAACAATTCAGTACAACAGTACCGATACGAGTAATCACACGGTAGGAGCTGCAGCCGGAGGAGATCAATTTGAATGCGAACACAGCCATAAAAGCGCATAAAGGATATGTAATTTGTTTAGTATTACCGTAATTAATCGCGCCCCGTTTATGATCACTATGACCTCGCAACCGCGTGCAGGTGAAGCATTTGCCTGGGAGAGTTGGGTGGAGGCTGGTTCGGACAGGGGTTGGATAGCGCCAGTGTGGACATCGCTAATTGTGAACTATGCCCTACATTGAGAATGATCCGCTTTACTAATTTCGGCCATTATGCAGAGCTCATCAGTGGAATAACTAAAATATTAATTTCTATTTTAAGTGTTGTATGCGTGTACTGTAGCAGGAGAGCCTTCTAGGGAATCTTGTTATCGCAGGAATCCTTCAGTCTATTATAGCCTTTAGCACCCAAATCCAGCCAAACACGTTCCCAGTTTGCCCGAGTATTCCATGAGTGGGCTGCTTTTCAAAACGCGGAGCAAGGGTCCTTCAAGTTTGAATATTCTAGAGGCATCGCCTTCTTCCCTTGCCAAATTAAGGCAAATGACACGACTCTAAATGATCCTTTAGGAGTATGCGGGTTCACTAATGGATATGTCATAACTGGTAGTGCAGTTGTTGTGGCCAAGCAGCTCTGAATGAAGGTAACGGTACAGGGTTCGCCAAGTAAATCCTGCTGCCTGGTAACCCTGTGTTTCTTCCATAAGTTGCCAACTCTAACCTTGTCTAATCATGGCTCCTACATAATCCTTGTGAATATCCGTAGTTTTAGTCACTTCCTGGGGGTGGGACAAGAGTCACAGGGAAATCAGGAGAAATCTGTTATTTAAAAAATTAGGCGGGTTTTCAAGCACCCCAAACGCGATTCTTGCCAAGCACTATCCTGTGCAGCATGAATATTCTTTTTTAGGCTCTAGACAAAGGGTACGTAGAAGTTGGGGGCCATTCGAGCCAGTCGATGAAAGTGAACACGAAGGAGATCTTTGGCCCGTCTTGAGTTAGGGGAAAAAGTGAAATTTTCAGTTTTCCTGGTTTTCAATGAAATCAATTACTTAGTATACCAATAACATTCTATTAATTACACTCTAGAGTCTTTTATATTTTATTCTGAGACAAATGTTCTTTTTAAAATCTCAATATTATTATTTACAATTTTTTGAAGAATTTTTATGTAATTTTGATAAGCTGGAAAGGTCCGGGCAATTTAGCTCATTTCTAGTGTCAAAAACTAGACTTGACAAACGAACAAATATAAGTTTGAAGGAGTAGACCCTGAATGAAGACCGCTTCCTGGAGCAGTACGCCAGCAGATCTCATCCTCAATGAGATGGTGAAGCTCTCTTCAGGAAGAGCAATTTCACTTCACACTCGTTCGGTGTAGCTCAACATTTTCGCCAAACCAGCGCTAATCCGGAAATCAACGAGAGCGCGCGCGCTTGACCTGACGATGGCGCTGTGGGTTTGTGTGGAAGGAGGTATTACTGACTAATAGCTGCGCTAACTCCTTAACCAAATACGGTCATGGCCAAGCTGGCATGGAAGGCCAAGCCGCAACCGCCGCCCTCCAGCTCACTCACTAGTCTCGATTGCTTATTACAAACATTAGACGTATCGCGCTAAGTCGGCACGCTTTGATTTCCTTCGGTGAAACGGGGTGGAACCGCCGACTGACAGCAAAACGGCGGAAAACACCTGTGTTTGATACACTTACCGCGCATCACTGCACGCTCTCACTGAACGTACCGCTCCCTATTACGTCGATTACAAAACACAGGATTACGGTATCACTGCCTATACATCAAAGGAAAGGAGGTTAAGCGAAAAACTAGGACCCAATATACATGCAGGCCCTCCGAATTCGACTTGATGCAGCACCAACTGTCTTTTTGGAAAATCCCAGCAAAAAGAGTCGCATTTGTGGTTTCAAAGAGGGAGTCATGACGGGAAAAATGGCTCTATTTTAGAAGGAAAAGTGCAGATATTTTTTCGGAAATTAACAAAATTTTCTCTGTAAATCTCAACAAATTACGAAGAATTTACTGTTTCAGCAGTTATGGACACCTCCGCTCGATGCGATCTTGGGGCGGAGTTCCGAACGTTTCGAAGGGTGCCAGATAGGCCAAGTTTCAACACCACTGGACATCATTGGTCGTTGAAGAGGGGGGGGGGGTATTGTGTTGAGCGAATTTGCAGAAGGGGCATATTTTTTCCAACATGACGCTTGACTTGAAATGGTGGTCTAGTGAGGATAAGAGAACACCTAACAAATCGTTTCCAAAAAATTCTGGGGCCAAATTCGCTTTCGCTAGGCTTTTCGTCCCTCACGATTCGGCTATACGGTATCAAAGTGGCCTAAGAATACATTAACACATTGTTACCTGAGTGAGCTCGATCAGCTCCGAGCGAATTTTTTTATGCCCATTCTGTAACTTTGACGTTGGCCCACGCAGAAAAATTAAAGGAGTCCACAATATTCAGAAAAGTGCTCAAAATATGAAACTTTGCAACATTTTCGAAGGAAACTGCTGTGCACATTGGCTTCCGCTTCCATAAAAAACCCAAATTCGCGTTCGATGTTGGCAGCAAGCCAAACACTAAATGAATTTGTATCTCTTGAACTGCATGCAATGGCGTTAGAACCCACTATATGGGTCACTCATTTTATGGAAAAGGCGTCAGGATAACCAGTGAAGGGTTTATGTCGGGGACAGCTCTAACAGCTAACAGCACACCGCTCAGAGTTGAAAAATTTATTTAAGGGTGATGTCTTAGAGTGGCGGTGCTACGGCTTGGAAAGTTAAGAAGTTTGAGACTAACCAGAGCGTGCAATTATTGCCTCCGTAATTCATCGCCTAGGCTCGCCACAGGAAATGCCCTTAACGCCCCGTAGATCCATAGTGTAGCGATGAAGTAGATGGAGTCTGATGTGGTGACCTGTGAGCGCCAGGTTGTTTCACCTTGCCGTTGGAGTGCCACTTCTGCTCACCGTACCTGGTCCAGCTCACATTGTCTAACTTTGATCCTCCTTGTTCCTCTTTCTCATGCATTTTCATGATCTCTTCGGCTGCTTCTGGCCAACTCTGGCAGTTGATATTCTCGCAGCCGTTTGACACCTTTTTTCGGCGAGTGCACGGTCGTCAAACTACTGCTGACGCATACGTGTCGTTCAGCGATGGCGCCGTCGGCGGTACGCCTTCATCATAACAGAAGCTCGCAAAAATTTTTAACGATCCCATGCTGTTTTCAAGTGCTTCTTATCAATAGCTCTACTCAAAGCATGCCGCGTTCAATAAAATCGAACTCGGCTTTTATGGTCGAGACGAGATGGGAGCTCGTCGGTCTTCCCGCGGCGGCCAGAGGTAATGTCCTGATTTCGTGCGTCGTAGCACAGTACAGTTGCCCCGTACAGATTCCCTGAGTTAAAGAGCTTGATGTTTCTTAAACCCATACACACGTACAGACAAACCTTTGGCCCGGACGTCGAGATTCCGTGATTGCCGACACTCCTCCCCTTTTTCGTCACGTACCAAGGTAAACACGCCGGGCTACGATCACTGTAGAGGTCGCTTCGGAAGAAGCCGTAGACCATCGGGCGACCTTCAGGCTCTGGGATCAGCCGTTGCAGGGGTACCCATTTTTGGATTTTTTAAAATCGCCATTCTCCACCACTCTTCTCTGTAACTTTTCAACATAACTGTGATCGCATATGAATAAATTTATTCTGAATCCAAATATCGGGCTGTAGTCAACGTTGTAATCGATTTTCGTGTACAGTACTTCGGCCGATTTAGCCATGTGATTGATAACATTTAAGAACGTGACGGCGTGCTTCCGCGACTTCCTTCAATTCATGTCGATTCATTTGTGCTCCGCCTTTGACCCCTTTCATATTTGACCCTCAGATTGAAGACTTGAAATTCAGTACAAATTTTGATATCGATTTTCTCGTTTGGTCGCTTCATTTTCACGCACGTACGAGACGACGTCATACATGGCCGTGTGTGGTGCGTTCTCCGTTACGGAAACGATCGTCGTCTTTGTCGAATTTCTCATGGATTCATCCACCGTTATTACAGATGTTGCCGAGTTTTGTGCCGCCACGAGAGCATTCGATCTTTCCACGGCCCTCGAACGACGAGTTCCTGCGCTATTGGCAGGTCTATCAACAGCAGCTCTATCAGATGCTCTACACCATCAATTCAATTGATCAGGTAAAGTCTTTATTTTGTATATTTAAAAATACCTTGGCTATACATTTCTCCTATACCTCTCGTTGGACTAACCTAAACCTACCTTTTAACCCTAGTATTAGCTCAGTAAACTGATTGAATAATCTTCGTGAGATTTGCTTTATTCAGCATCCACCGTACACTCTACTGTCCTGGTCATTGTCAAGTACAGCTCTCTGTCTCGGTTCTTTGTCTGAAATCGCTCTTCCTCTGACCGGGTTACCTCTTTTAAAAATCATTTTGGGTGTTCCAGCTAGCCAGGACCTCCCTCAGTTCCTACAAAGTATTTTTACAGAATATGAACGCGCATATGAAAGTGTTCTGTTCACCGGAATCCTCTGAAGGAACGTCGACGGAGTCTTCTTCAGAAAAGAAGAAATTCGATTTCACCCATTTGGCCGAGTCGATCGAAATTGAGGAGCGTGAAAAAGCTAAGGTAAGGGTACTACAATGAAGCCTTTGCGATTTCAATCAATAATCGAATTCGGCTTTTCAGGTTGAAACGACACCAACACGACCATTCGTCGTCACCACGTCTCCATACAGTCGGCCACCATGGTTAGTACAAGTTGTAGCATCTAACCTGTATTGAAAAGTCTGCTCCTCTGAAAGCGTACCATTCAGGTTTTTGCTGCCTGGACGAGGTCGTACTACTGGAAAGGCAAACCGGCCTAAAAAGGAGTTCATTTGCAAGTACTGTAATCGGCACTTCACTAAATCCTATAATCTCCTGATTCATGAGAGGTGAGTAACGAGGGGTTACTTTAAAAGGAGGGCATTTTTCAAATTTGTCATCGATTATTGATTATTCACTTGTAGAACCCACACTGACGAGCGTCCGTATTCGTGCGATACCTGCGGCAAGGCATTCCGACGTCAAGATCATCTCCGAGACCATAAGTGAGTGATTTTGAAGTAAATTAGGTGACCCACAACCCTATTGGTTCTACTTCCAGGTTCATCCATTCCAAGGATAAGCCGTTCAAGTGCGACGTCTGTGGAAAAGGATTCTGTCAGTCGCGGACGCTTCAAGTCCATCGTGCCGCTCATACAGAATTTACCGGTGATCAGGATATTGACGATCGGGTTAGTCAGCTTCAAACCCTCTTAATCACATGGCAGCAGCGTTAAAAGTAAAGCTCCTATCGTTTTCAGGCCATGCTCGTATCCCCATCCACTGTAGACGTGGAGCCGTTGTTGACGCCCGGATCGACCCCGGAGTACAATCTCGACCCACCGAGTCCATCGTCGCGAATCTGCTGATCAACCGTTGACCTGTTCGTTTCCATTCACGTTCCTCTACAGTACATATAAGGACCGTGCTCTCTCTCTTTTCTATCTTCTCATCCTTCCTTCTTTGTGTGTATATGTCATAACAGGAATTGTATGTGTGCTTATAGGCTATCACCTCTTCCCCACTCAGTCTCGTCCCCGATTTCATAATGGACTGATAACTAAGGTGACGAATTGAGTGTGCTAATGCGAACAGAATACACACACGCACCGATCCTCCAACAACTTGTCCCACCCCCGATCGTATTATTTGACTTGGACCGGAGAGGTGTGATAGTAGCAACAGCGACGGGGGTGAAAGCAGGGTCAACCGTCCGCTTTGAGCTTCTCACCAATAGAAGTCGTATTTTATGATCAGACAGAAGAGATCGTAGTTTTATACGAACATGGAAAGAAATTCCTCCAATTTTGTACAATTTTGGACCCGAAAAAAATTCGGAAATTTTGCTGTTTCAGCGCTTTTATAACTTTCCCTCCCCGCTCGAATTTGCTGTTGCATGTGCTTTCTACTTTCTGCTCCGCTCTTGGCGAACATTCGACTGTAGACTTTTCGACTCTGTCAAGATGAACCAGGTTCAAATACACTGTCTAACACCACTGAAAGTTAGAGAGTTAGGGCGGGGCCTTACGAGAGACTCCCTCAGAGGGGATGGTCTAATATCCATTTTTTTCCAAAATGACGGTTGACCCTAGGTGAAAGTGATGTGGTCCGATCCTGAACTATCCCTGATCATAATAGGACCATTTAGTGCCTTCTGACAATAATCTGTTGACAGTAATGTTGTAATCCGGGTCTTACTTAATTAACAATACCGTAATGGCAATTCATAGAATTCCATCCGATAGAAGAACGCCGTCACCGGTCGTCGTTGTGACGGACGTCTAGGATTCTATTTCTCATCAGCAATGTGTCACTATATTGTCATGTGATTCGATTACTACCGTATTATATAGAGTAAACGATTTTCCGCTTTTCACATTGTCTGCTAACTTACTGTTCAAGGAATTACCACAGTACTGAAATTATTGTGCAATTTTTCTAGCCATATAACTTGCATTTCCTGCACCGATCCTTAAGCGAAGCAAAGGGATATTTCAAAAA